ACCTGCAGCAGCATTTATTTTAAATTTGAAATTCTATAAAATAAATATGAACATAAATAAAGTTTGAACATGTTAATCGCATCGTAGTCTTAGATATTTCCTGAAATACATTGAACCACTCCAAAGCACTTTCTTGGGTGTTGATATTTACGAATAAATCAACTATAAGTTGTCCAATTGTCACATTTTCCACAGTAATAATAGGTTCTAATTCACTATAATTTTCGATTTGATATTCATAACTTGGTGGAAGTATTCGTTGAAGTGGAATAGGTAAATCAGATAGTTTGTTAAAACTCTAAATATTTTATTTATTACTGTAAGTATAGCTAACTAAATAATAATTTTAAACGTTTTTACGATTGTACCTGTAATGAACTTTGGGAAGGGATATGTCGGATAACCCTAAGTTCTAAATTTTATACTTATATGAATGGATTGGCCTTTATAATATGGCCCTTTGACTTTATAAGGTGGCATGTTCACACAATATATTAGGGTTTAATTTATTCAGGGTTTCAAGCAGGGCTTAAACGACTATATTGAAATGTCGGCCATGCAAAAGTGTCATTCTTGCTCTATATTATATTAGAACAATAATATATATATACAATACACTAATTTTGATGAATCAAGAAAACCACTTTAAACAATAGGCTGCAAGCCGGCAAATTACTATAGTAATTTAAACCCTGGTTTCAAGTCAATTATTTAAATATATCGATCATGTAGAAATAGTAATGATAGTAATGCGAAAATTCATCTTTCTATACATTGTTCATCCTTATGAGCTATTTCACTCCTTCATTTTCCTTTTTTCGCTAATACACCAGATACAACATTGGTTCTTTACGCTGTGAACGAATTGTAAACAACACGTGTGACTATGGGGTTGTGGCTTAACCGGCTAAGTTGGATGATTTTTTCTTAATAAAATTAGAATTAACATGTTCAAACTTTATTTATGTTCATATTTATTTTATAGAATTTCAAATTTAAAATAAATGCTGCTGCAGGT